GGAGGTATGCGGGAACCATTTGTGAGTGGAGAGTCTTTTGTGAGTGGATTTTATGAAAAACATCATGGAAGAGTTTTGACTATTGACGGGCATGTGAATGGGACTGGTTATTTTGGGAAATACGACAGAAAAGATCATAGCTTGCATTGTGGCCATGGAGGTCAAGGTGAAAGCAATCAGCAAAATAGCAATAAGGTTGTAGATGAGTTTGTTCATGTGGGCAATGGCAGTGATCCTCTAGCAGCCTCTTTGTATGTCCCAAGAGATGATAAACTTGTTGAGATTGACAAGAAATTGATTATTCAGTCTGTATTGGCAAGTGAGAAAGCCATGGTATCTCATGGAAGTGCTGATAAGAAAAATAGAGAGCCAAGCCTCGTAGTTCCTGGAGATTTATCCCCGTCTATCCTAGGAATCCATCCTCGCCTATATCGAAGTCCTGCAGTGGGAGAACGGGTTCATGGATCTGAGGAGAAAGAGAATGTAAAGGAAACTATGCAGCAGTGGCACCTTGAAAGTGTTGCTGGTAAGTGTTGTTCTATATATACTGACTATTAATTCTTATCTTTGTGATATGAGTGAGAAATTTAAGGACTCCATATCATTTAAATTCATATTTTGATTTTACTTTTCCTTTCTTAGGTCAAATTTTCTATTCTTGATAGAAATGAATTCCTCTAGCTATTATACCCTAAAAAACTTTCAACGGAGGCAAATCTAGTTACTCTTTCAAGTGTTTGCTTTAAGAATTTAGGTTTTTTGATTTGCTTTGAGTCCCTTAATTCTATATCTTAAATCATTGTATCCTCGTCATAGTATATGTTCTAAGCAAATTTGTTGTTTGGAGAAGCCTTTTTTTTCAGTATTTTAATTCATTTTGTGTTCATTTGGGTAGGGCCTTTGTTGAGTTCAGACACGTGTACAAAAGTGTTCGAGTTCGATGCGTCCTCTTCTGCTCCACAATCCATAGTTCCTGTTACCAATGCTAGAGATATATCTATGGAGAGAGGCATAATGGAACACGTCTCCATAGAAATAGAAGGATCCTCAATGGTCCTCCAATTTCCCTTTCTAGACCCTCTCAGCAATAAGTCACTTTCTTCCTTGGTAGTATTTGTTCTGGTTGATGGTGATGGTGATGGAATCATGGGTCCGGATTCCGTCTCTCGGATATTCATTGTTTTGCTTATTGATAGTGTCAAATATGTCACATATTCTTGCATGCTTCCATTTATTGGTAGTGTTCATGTAACAGAAGCATCATCGAAAAACAATGTTGTAGATACCATAAGATCTACTAATTGTCCTCATTAACTTATGAGGCGTGATGGTTGTCTTCTTTATGTGTCATATGTTTCTGCAATAATAACACATTATCTCTCTTTAATTATCAGAAGAAGAAACCGAAAAATCCTTTAAATTATATGTATTATGTCTTTGCGCTCTATATTTACTCAAAACGGACAATTGTAGTAGGCAATATATTCCTTACATTAGCAAATAACTAGAAAACATTTGACTTTCTCCTAAATGATATGACATCTTAACTTGAAAAATCAAAGCTTTGAACGTCAGTGAATTCAGCAATTAAGTGTAGAATTATTATACAACTACACACCTAGCAAAAAAAAAAAGGATCAAACAAAGAAGAGAACACATGACCATAGATGAAAATTGAGGTATTTTCGTAAGTTGTGGTATGTTTTGTTTAGTTGTGTGTTTTTTTTTCCAGATTGACAATGACCATAGTGAGCAACTCAACAATAATATAGTTTATGTGTCTCAAGTCCTTAAACTCTACTTCTCTCTTCTCTTGGATGGAGGCAATGTATGAATCATTAAAAAATATTATGCTTTCAAATTCATGGAACAATTGAGCCAAGTTTAATAACTCCCAACACCTCTGATATAAGATTATGGATAAAGAGACACCAACTCTTCCTCTATAAATAACCTCCATGAATAGTTCATTTATTTTTAAAAAACTATCTTAGATAATTTATTCTTAAAATATGCTAAGGGGTGGCATCACTTTTGAAGGTGGCCTCCCTTCTTAACTTCCAAAGTTTTCCCCTGTTCTGAACAAGCAGGCATATTCAACTCCTTAATTAGGTTAGTCATTTGAGAAATCACATCATAAAAATTATGTGTCATTAATGTATAAAGAAATACAATTTTGTAAAGATAGATATCAAATCAAGCTGAAAGTCTGAACAATTAAACACATCAGCTAAAACACAAGCAATTAGTTGTTGTCCAGTTGCATATATGGACTAAAGCTCGAGCAAGTATTGCAATGATGGTTGATTTTGGTACTACTATTCCATGCCTATGTTCTTTCAAAATCTGTCCGGAAATTGAACTTGCAATTCTTTTTGACATGTTACTAGATAGATTGCAAGATTTTGCGAGTTAAAAAGGATCCTTAAGTGAGTTGCAAATCTTTCTTTTTGAGATGGTAACAAATTTTGTTGATTGAATGTTTATTGTGCGATCTTAGGACTCTAATTAAGTGGTGATCCAATACTTTTTTCTCATCAAAACACTCTACTTTACTTCAACATAGTTTTTAGAAGTTTGGCTTTACCTTTGAGAAAATTTATTACTTCCTTGAAATTTCTAAGTGGATTTTCTACTTGAAGAACATTAGTAACATCACATGTCGCACTTCTACTTTTACCAATTAGTTGTTGTCTAGCTATATACAAAATCAAGCTTTGAAGTGGCTTCATTTCAAGTCCGACTGAAAATTTCATGTACACCTCCTCATCTAAATCTCCATGTAAAAATGCATTATCCACATCCACTTGAAATACTTCTCAATTCTTTTTGATCATATAGACAAGATACACCTAATTGTAGTCATTTTAGCCACCGGTTAAAATTTGTCATTCAAATTTATTCCATCTCTTTGTATATCGCCTCAAATTACCAATTGAGATTTGAGTATTTCCACTCTTCCATCTGAATGTTGCTTGATTTTATACACCCATTTACAGGGTAATGTCTTTCTCCCATGAGGTAACTCCACAACCTCCCAAGATTTGTTTAATTCAAGAAATTTAGGCATGACATTTTGTCAACCTCGGTGCGTATAACTTGGGTGTAGCTAGTAGGTTTGAGAAGGAATTTATGAATGCTTGATTTGTGGAAGACAAACTGGAAAAAGAAAACTAAGGAGGAGTAACAGAGGAAAGAAAACAAGAACTCGTGACATTGCTGAGTTGCAAAGCGTTGCAGATCTAATCCTTTAGTTAACTAAGTGTTTTATGAGACCTAGAAGATTTTTTAAGAATATTTTCTATGACCATAAGTGAAACTGAAGGTGAGGGAATGCTATCAGGAATAATAGGAGAAGATGGAGATTTAAAGGTACTAGGGTAATGATCATCAGAAAAAAGTAGACTTAGTGATAGGTAAATAGGAATATAATAGTCCTCTGTGGACAGATTATGAGGAACTAAAGTAGGCACAGGATCCTTAAGACCGACTATGTGATCTTTTGGTAGAAAAGATTCGATACATTCACCAAATTTAGTAGGGGCAAAAGGAAATATGTTTTCATGAAATATCACATCTCTTGAAACAAAAAATTTCTTGGCTTAAAGATAAAGTAACTTAAAACCTTTCTTTCCATGAGGATATCTCTAAAACACACATGATACGACTCTAGGTTCTAACTTTTTCCTATGAAATGAAAGAGTGGAAGCGAAACACAAACAACCAAAACACTTAAGACTCTGATAATTTGGTTTAGACGTAAAATAAATCTTATAAGGTGTTTTGTATTTGAGAACTTTGGAAGGAAACCTATTCAAATAGGTTTTTGTTAAAACACAATCACCACAAAACTTAATAGGTAAATGTGATTGAAAAAGAAGCGCTCTAGATGTTTATAATAGATGCTTGTGTTTCCTTTCCACAACTCCATTTTTTTGTGGAGTGGAGACACAAGTTGTTTGGTGAATGATGCCTTGAAAACAAAAAATTATTTTGCAGTTTTCCAATCCCCAATTCATAAACATTATCAGATCTTATTTTCTGGACTTTAGTGCAAAACTGCCTCTCTATCATGGTTTGAAAAGATTTATGTACTGTAAAAGCATTCAATTTGGAAGATAGTAAGAAAGTCCATGTTCCAATACTAAAACCATCTACTATAGTGAGAATATATCTGAAATTTTCATAAGTAGGATTGTTGTAGGGTCCCTAAGTATCTACATGAATTAATTCAAAAATAGGTTTTGTAGAAATAGTACTAGAGGGAAAAGGGAGTTTGGATTGTCTAGCCATTGGACAAATAATACATGGAGATTGAAAATTTGAACAATGGTATACTAGAATAGAAATAATTTTTCTCATATTGATTAAAGTCATATGAGCGAGTCTATAATGCCATAGCTTCTCTTTTACATTTTGAAACATGAATATTGAAACTAGAATTTAAAATAGGAATAGGATTGACAACACAGTGCCTTTTGGAATTAAAACTTGACTAGATATTAAACTATCCATAGAAGCTGCAGCTTTAGACTTCGATTTTAGAATGTAGAGTACATATTTTTCTTCACAATCTCCAGTGGATACTTCATTCAAGGGCCCTGTAGAAAGAAAGAATCAGGAGTGAAGAGAACATGTTGATTAAGTTGTTGACAAAACTTGTGGATAAACATGAGATTGAATTTAAACGATGGAATATAGAGAACATTCTACAAAATCAAGTTTGGCAGAAGAGTAATAGAACCATAATGTGTGACCTTAACTTTGTGAGAATTGGGAAGATTCACCATGATTGGATTTCCTAATGATTTAAAATTGGAAAAAAGATACTTGTTAAAAGTCATATGTTCAGATGCACAATTGTCCAATATCCAAGAATTGGTGTCTGTTTTAACCAAAAAATGCATAGGAATTGAAAAACCTTTTCATACCAGCAGAATTGGCACTCGTGGTAGCTTTGGCATTGTTTCTCTTTGTTGTCCCAATTTTTATTGTTGAAGTTATTGCAAAAGTTTTCCTATATTCTCCTGAGTTAGAGTTTCAGCATTTGAGAACCCACTGCCCCCTTGATCAACCTCCTCTATAGCGTGGTAAGCATTGTCAGCCAAGGTTAGGAATCTCTTTTGCTTTGTGAACTTGAAATCTGGAGGAAATCCATGAATCATGTAGCATTTGTCAATGCTATGACCTGGCTTTTTTGCTTTAGGCACATGTGCTTGGATTCTTATTTGATTCAACAGATCCCTTTGGTGGTTTGAAACTATGGTAGTTTATATTTCCTCCTGATTGATTTGCTACGATAAAAGATGCATAGTCCCCTGGATAGACATGAGAATTATGGATTTCTCGTTGCTTTTAATCTTGGATATCTAAGGAATAAGCATATCCAATAGACGGTAAATGGGATGACAACAAAATATTGCTCCTAACACCAATAAAGGAATCATTCAGCCTCACAAGGAATTGTAACAACCTTTCATCTTTATGGAATTTGAGAAGTTTTGCCTTAGCACCACAGTCGCACACACAAACACAAACAACAATAAGTGTTCAATGCATCTAGTTCATCCCATAGACTCTTCATTTTAGTGAAATAGCCTGATATACTAGAGTTACCTTGCACCACAACATTCAGTTCCTTTTGTAACTAGAATAATTTTTCACCATTCGTCTGACCAAATCTATCGTCTAGGTCACTCCAGAGTTCTTTGTCACTTTGAGAGTAAAGCACCGATTCAACTATTTCTTTAGATAAAGAGTTGAGAAGCCACAAGAAAATCATGCCATTGCAGCATGACCATGCCTTTTGAAAAGCCAAATCTGCAATTGGAATCACCAATGAACCATCAGTGAACCCAGGTTTGTTTTTGGCACAGAGCACAATTATAACAACCCTTCTCCATCCACCATAGCTTTTCCTATCAAACACTGTGGAAACAAGATTCATCTAGGATAATCAGAGGGATGAATATAGTAGAGATGAGTTGCACACATAATTTTCGGCAGAAAGAGTACTTGGAGTGTTTTCAATAATTGGATCGGAAGTAGATGATGTGGGTGCCATTGTAGAGAAGATGAAGAAATAGAAAATGAAACAAGGATTTTAGTCTGATTCTAAACCTACTCTGATGCCATGAAAAAAATAACAAGAAATTGATTGAGAGAAAATTCTCTTTTCTGTATGTTTGACATGATCACTGTATAGATGTGTATATATAAAACTCACAGAATACATGAATAACAAACTGTGAAAAGATAATGGGGAATGTGATTGACCAACTATGAAATGTGTCCAACTTTATCTAACAAATTATTGTGTCCTACTTTATCAAACAAACTAAAAGATAATTACAACGAATAAGAAAAACATACATGACTAATCTTCCAAAAGCCTTTCTAGACCAGAAATACACCTAGCAGACCTCTGTCTTCTTCTTCGTTATTGCCTCACCATTATACACCAGCATATGTTAACAGGTATTCTCAAGGAATCAGCTTGCAAATTCACAACTATTGCGTATTTCTTTCTCGACATCAACTAAGTCTTTTACAAAATTTATGGTTATTGAAATTTCTTTTAGTTCGTTAAAGGGTTGATCTTATTAGAGCATGGAGCACTTGTTATTTAGATAAAAAGAGAAGTAAATTGATTTAATTTTAAGAAATCCAAAAGAATAATCACATTTAAGAAGTTATACGATAAGTTATGATTTTTAGATTTCTGAAAATTAATCATACATGTCCAAGATTAAAAATTCTATGACCTAATTAAAAAACAGCTTACATTTAATTTTCTTGAAGATCAATTTGTTATACCAACCACAAAAAAGTAGTAGAAAATCTATTCTATAAAGTGGAGTACAAAAATAATAATTGAATAAAAGGTTATTGAATCGATCTATATGAATTTGCTTTAAAATTTAAGGAGTATGGAGAAACCGAAAAAAAGAATCATCATAAAGTTTATTAGTCATTTTTTTACAAATCGATAAGCAATTGATCTTGGAAAAAAAAATCGTTGAAATTGTTCCGACGCATTTTTTTTACGCTAAACTTTTTAATGAGTAATATAATGTTATTTTTAAAAAGTTAAGATAACATTTGTCCAGTCGTCTAAATTAAGACTTTCCCATTTGCCTTGGAGATATCATTTTCTTCTGAGAACGTAAGACATTCCTCTATCTTAGTTATATATCCAAGTCTTTAATATATCAATCAGATTAACTTATTTAAAAAAATGAATAATTTACACTAGATGTATTGCTTCATCCAACTACAATGAGAATGATATATGTAGAAAAAACATGTACATAAGTCTTAAGAAATAAATCAATACTTATGGCATACATTATCATATCTCTTGGAGATAAGATGACACTTTAATTATATTTTATAATCCCTAAAAATTTCTAATAAATAATGTATGCAGTTAAAGAATTGTTATTGTTAGATAGCAAATTATAGTGTCAAACGGGGCTACACGTACATCGCATGTGCCCAGAGACTAGTATTATTAAAGTGGGAATAAAAAAAGTTTAAAAGTTGAATTACAATTTTACCCTTGCTATAAATTAAATGTTACAAAATATTTAACTATTTAAATATTAAATTGTATCATTTTAATTAAGATGTTAATAACTTTTGGAATTCCTTATATTAATTCCTAATTGAATATCTAATTTAAGAATATTTATCATCTATACTAGTAGTATTAGTCTTAAGAAGAACTTGAAAAATTATGTACTAATTTTGTATTGTTTTTCCATGTATATTGTTAGATTTATAAAGTCTTAATGTGTGAATGGTTTTTTTTTTCTTTGCTCATTTTTGCGTGTGTTTTCTATCTATTAGACCTCTTAAACATTTATTAGTAGTTATGGTATTTCAGTACTCATTATATGCATGTTTTCATATAATTTTAGTCTATAAAAATTCACACGAAATACACGTGCAACGCACATGTCCTGAATAAAGTTTGAATTATATGAATGAAAGATCTGTGGAACTAAACAACTAATGTCTGAAGTAAAGTCTCTACTAACTAGAATAAAGAAGATTTAAGTTTTTTCGGGACATGGCTCCTAGCTATCGCAAAACAATTAATTGTCTTGATGGAAAATTTAACTACTTACTACTTTTTGAAGTCTCCAAATGAGGAGGACTCGCCAACTACTTACTGGAAAGCTGCAACATAAAAGTATGTTGTCAGTACATGGAATGTACTGTGTATATAACTAAGCATAATCATCTCGGGTGTATAAATATCATTTGAGAATCTGCTTTCAAATAGATAAAGGTGAATCTATTTCAGTCTCCCTAAAATAAAAATGAATCGAAGATGTCATATCATTTCAGAGAAAGTCAGAAGTTTTTCAGTTATATGCTAATGTAAGGAATTTCCAACTACATTAGTCATTTTTGAGTAAATATAAATATAGAGTGCACACGCATAATACATATAGCTCAAAGGAGCATTCCCTTTCTTCTTTCGATAATTAAGGAACGATAATGTATTATTGTAGAAACATATCACACATAGAGGAGACGGCAATTACCCTCCATTAGTTAATGATAGTTGTTTAAATTTATACTATTACACATTTAAGCTATGTGAACAATGAGGACTATTAGTAGATCTTATGCTATCTACAAAATTATTTATCTATGTTGTTTCTACGACATGAACACTCCATCTTCAGGTGACTTCACCAGAGAGCACATCCTTTAAGTGGAATCATGCAAGAAAAGGTGATATACTTGACACTATCAATCAGCACAACTACGAATATCCAACAGAGGGACTTCGGACCCATGATGCCCGTTAGAAAATGAGATATTTCTAGATAGTCATTTTTAATGGTTCTTTCTTAATATTATGTTTAGTTTGTAAAAGAAAGGTAGTCCTTGTTTTATGGAATATGTTTTGTAATAGAGTACAATAGTGGTTGGATAGGTAAGGTCTCTCTATTAACTTTTGACATGCTTATATAGCTATTAGTTCTAGAAATGTGCGTTGCACGTTTATCCCAAAACATTTCATATAAATTTTGTATTGCAAATGACCTATTTTCTCCGTTTCAAATTTATTGATATTTACTAAAAAAATCCACCTTTTTAACAATAGAAAGTAAATATATCTTCCTAATAAAAAGAATACATCCTTAATTATAAATTGACTAAAGGTGCATAAAGTAAAAATAACTAATTATTGTACTGATACAATATTCAAATAAGTATACCAAAATATCACCTGCTAGGTTAATGTATACAAAGCAACAAACCATTGTAAATTCACAATATTAACAATAAAAAGTTATACAATAGCAGCAAACAAGAAACATAAACATTAAAAAAACAAATAAAAAGAGACAAGAGAAGAGAGCATATAGATTTTCTCTTCTTTTTGTTTTTTCCAATTGTTTTAAGTGTGTATAATATTGTGTCAAATGTCACTATTCATAGGATAGGATTGAAGAACACTTAGAGTTGTTATGAATATGAGATTAATCCATTTGATCATGGATGAGAGGTGGGAGTAAAAACGATAATGAATATAATTAGTGGGAGTTGCATATATTTACATAATGAAGAGTTGGGGGGGTAATAAAATCTATGTAATGTACTTAACATTAATATAAATATTTATATACCAAAAATATGTAACATAGATCTATATGATTTTTCTTCATTTTGCTAAGGTCAAACATAACCATTCATATTTCCAATTGGAAGATGAACAAAACAAAAAATTCATGAATTTAACTCCAGCATGAAATTAATGAAAAGAATACATATTCAAGAAATTTTATGGTGAATGATTCATATACTAGTATGATGATTTACTATTCAATATTTAATTTATTAAATAGTTTATAACATTTAAATTTGATGTAGGGATAGAATTGTAGTCTAACTTTTGCCTAACATTGTTCCCACTTTTAGTATATATATTAATCAATTGGTAATTATGCTTCTTTTTTTGTCTGTTTGAATGCTTCATAAGAAGTTGGTATTATTGAGATTGTATTATATTTGGTATTATTATTGGGATTGTTAGAAGGCAAAAAGATTGTAATTTATTCAACTCTTGAATCTTGTAGCTCTTCATTTTTCTATTTTCTGGTAATTAAAATCCAAGTTTCACTATGCCTCTTTCTGACATAGACAAGATAAAGATTTGGGCTTAACAATTTTAAGATCCAATATGAATGCAATTACAGCTACTACAGGAAATTAGATCTTGAACTAATTAAAGAGGGTGATTTAATAAATATAACGCATGAGGGTTATTTCAAAAAGAAATTCCACAAATGAACTGAAATCAACATATATATTTTGATTCCTACTTCATGCAAGTAATCAAATATTATTATTATATAAAATCAAAGAAATTAGCAAGTCATATCATTCTTGCAATTAACACAACTTCCTCCTCTTCTTCAAATCAGAAACATCAAACATCTTAATGGAGTAATACTCCAACCTAAGTAACTAAGTAAACACAAAGGGGAAAAAAGGAATAGCTAACATTTTTAACTGCATCTATTTCCCCTTGTGTCATGGCATAATTATTAGTAGCCCAAGAATCCCTCATAATCAGGCACAATTAATAACTTAAAACATATGGTTAAGAGAGACGATATATGAGAAATAGCAATAGAACCCCTTAACACGTGCATTGAAGATAAATAATTAAAAAGAAGGAGAGTAGGAGAACTAGTGGTATTGAAACTCCGAAAGATAACCTCAATGAATTTACAATGATTCATTGATGTGGCAATTTATAAAATTCTAAAGCTACAGTTGGAAGTTGAAAAGAACTTCCAAATATTGAATTAGTTTAGGAAGATGAAAAGTTATTCTGGAGTATTAAATAGGCTGCAATAAGTTACATTTGCAAGAAAATTAATCCACCCCTTTGTATACCCAAATACTTGATTGATTGTT